GTATTACAACAATCCTACAAAGGAGATGGTATCTTGCAATCACTGTTTACATGTGGGGAAACAGGCTCAGAGTGTTTGAATGACTACGAAAGATTACAAAGGGAAACCTAGGTCTGCCTAGCTTTCACATTGCCCATCCTGCTTCCCTCTACCTTCTACTGAAAACAGATTTTAGCAGCCACAACACTCCATGTAGGTATGTAAATTTAAGAAGTAGCTCTGGGTAGGTAGGAGTATTGTGTCCGTTTCTTGGATTGGTAATGCCAGCCATGCTGAGACCTCAGGAGCAGTGAGGAGTGGAACTGTTTCCTCCTCCTCTGCCTAAAGCAGTTGAGGCCAGAGAGTGCTGGGAAAGAATGTGCCAAGAAGCCAACATGACCACCCTGTTCTGCCTGGCAGTTAGAAGTCTCAGCAACTCGAGAGACTGGGGCAAGATTTTTGGGTTTTTTTATAAACAAGTAACTCAGCCTCTGATTTTTCCATTAGTCTCTTTTTGTATGTGTGACCCTTTTTTATTATTTATTTATTTATGTGTGTGTGTGTATATATATATTTCATTTTTATTTATTCATTTATTTTTAATGCAGTCTCACTCTGTTGTCCAGATAAGAGTACTATGGTATCATAGCTCACAGCAATTTCAGACTGCTGGGTTCAGGTGATTCTCCTGCCTCAGCCTCCCAGGTAGCTGGGACTGCAGGCACCTACACAATACCTAGCTAATTTTTCTATTTTTAGTTTTAATTTTTTTTTTTTTTTTTAGACAGAGCCTGAAGCTGTCACCCTGGGTAGAGTGCTGTGGCATCACAGCTCACACTAACCTCCAATTCCTGGGCTCAAGCGATTCTCCTGCCTCCGCCTCCCAAGAAGCTGGAACTACAGGCACCCACCACAACACCCAGCTATTTTCTTGTTGCAGTTGTTTTAGCTGCCTGGGCTGGGTTCAAACCCGCCACCGTTGGTGTATGTGGCTGGCGCTGTAACCACTGTGCTACAGGCACTGAGCCTAGTTTTAGATTTTTTTTGTTTTTTGGTGTTTTTTTTGTTGTTGTTGAGATGGAGTCTGTTGCCCTCAGTAGAGTGCCATGGCATCATACCTCATAGCAACCTCCAGCTGTTGGGCTCAAGTGATCCTCTTGTCTTAGCCTCCCCAGTAGCTGGGACTACAGGCGCCCACCACAGTGCTTGGCTACTTTTAGAGACAGGATCTTGCTCTTGCTCAGGCTGGTTTCAAACTCCTGACCTCCAGCAATCCACCTGTCTCAGCCTCCCAGAGTGCTAGGATTGAACTTGCCCGGCCTTTTTTATTTTTTAAGTAGTAAGAATACTTAATATGAGATCTACCCTCATAACTAGGGTGACCAGACGTCCCGCTTTTGGCGAGACAGTCCCACTTTTGAACAATTTGTCCCATGTCCTGCGGCGTTTTTAAAAAGTCCCGATTTTTGGAAAGAATGCACGAACGAGGGGTGGCTCCTGTAGCTCAAGGAGTAGGGCGCCAGCCCCATATGCCGGAGGTGGTGGGTTCAAACCTAGCCCCGGCAAAAAACCACAAAAAAAAAAAAAAAAAAAAAAAGAATGCACGAACGGGCGGGAGAACAGGAAGGGAATGTACGATTTTCGCCTGCCATGTGGCTATTTTGCCAGAATATGAGTTTTATATTTTATAATGTTAAACTATAATAATAACAAATAATTGTTGAGAAGTGATTATGGAGAACTGCTTATCAAAGTTTGCATTGTTGTCAGGCCCTGCCCTGCCCCGCCCACCCCCACCCCGGGGCCATAGTGTCCCGCTTTACAAATGTTAAAATCTGGTCACCCTGCTCATAACACATTTTAAGTGTATAACATAGTGTTGCTAACTCCATTAATCTTTTTCAAGTTTGCTTACTGAAGTCAGTCTCTTTGAGCTTCAAAACTAAGGAACAAATCCTAAGCTATGGTGACCTCTACCAGAGGCCCAGCCCAGTGTCCTGAACAAGTATCCATATTCTTACTTCTGGTATTTTTTGCCCCCCTTTAATTTTGTTAGGTCTGAGCATGAGCTAAAACTAAAAGTGCTTTAATTGACGTTTCTTCACATCTATTTAGTTCAATAAGGACTCAGGCTTTAGAGTTAGTAGACCTTGGGTTTTTTGTTGTTTTGTTTTTTTTTAGAGACAGAGAGTCTAACTTGATTGCTCTCTGTAGAGTGCCGTGGCGTCACACAGCTCACAGCAACCTCCAACTCCTGGGCTTAGGCCTTGACTCAGCCTCCCAAGTAGCTGGGATTACAGGTGCCCGCCACAACGCTCAGTTATTTATTTATTTTTTTGAGACAGAGTCTCACCATGTCACCCTCCGTAGAATGCTGTGGCGTCATAGCTCACAGCAACCTCCAACTCTTGGACTCAAGTCATTCTCTTGCCTCAGCCTCCCAAGTAGCTGGAACTACAGGCAACTGCCACAACACCCGGCTGTTTTTAGAGGTGGGGTCTCGCTCTTGCTCAGTCTGTTCTTGAACCCGGTGAGCTCAGGCAGTCTACCAGCCTCAGCCTCCAGAGTGCTAGGATTACAGGCATGAGCCACCTTGCCTAGTCCCTGTTTGTTTTTTTTTTTTTGAGACAGTCTTACTATGTTGCCCTTGGTGGAGTGCTGTGGCATCACAGCTTATAGAAACCTCAAATTTTGGAGCTTAAGCAATTCTTTTGCCTCAGCCTCCCAAGAAGCTGGGATTACAGGCGCCTGCCACAACACCCATCTCTTTTGTTGTTGTTGTTGCAGTTGTTTAGCTGGCCTGGACTGGGTTTGAACCTGCCACCCTTGGTGTATGTGGCCGGCACCCTGCTGACTGAGCTATGGGCACTGCCCTTTTTTTCTTTTTTGAGACAGTGTCTCATTATGTCACCCTGGATAGAGTGTCATGGCGTCATAGTTCACAGCAACTTCAAACTCTTGGGCTTAAGTGATTCCCTTGCCTCAGCCTCCTAAGTAGCTGGGACTATAGGTGCCCACCACAACGCCGGGCTATTTTTTTGTTGTAGTTATCATTGTTGTTTAGCAGGCCCCGGGCCTGTGTGAACCCACCAGCCCTGGTATATGTGGCCGGCGCCCTAAACACTGAGCTACAGGCACTGAGCCCCTAGAAAGGCTTTTTATCTCGAGGATAAAAATTATCTCAGGGATTCTTCTCATTCTGACCACCCAGATCTGACCTTAGCTGTGCCCATCTGTAACTCTCTGGCCATTGTCTTCACACTGATTGTTGGGAAGGTCCTTGGAGAAGATGTTGGTGGAAAAGGTAAGTCAGGCTACTGCCAGTACGGGCCATAGCTGTTTGGACTTTGAGATCACATGATTAGTTCTTCCCTAGAGCCCATCTCCCAGGGGCAGGTGAAGAGACATCCTGCCTCCCTCTATCCTACTTCTGTGTGACTATCAGAGTTTCCTTCCCCCGGGCAAGCTGGGGGCAGAGACTGAGTGGGAATCGGGACCAGGGTCCCTTGATCTCTGCCCATTATCCAGGAGCAGTTGCTGGCATGGTACTCACTGTGACAGGAATTACACTTTGCATCGCAAGCTCGGTGAACAAGACCCAGGGGAAACCATCTACCCTTTGAGTAGATTGACTCCTACCTCCAGCTCTGCTATCTTCAGGAACCCCCTGGGCCATGAGGTGCCTGCAGAAAATACATGGACCTAGCACTTCCCTCTCTGAAGGGACAATAGCTACCTCGAGGATCAGAAGAAGAGAACAAGAATTAAAGGTTTTTATAACCTTCAAGTGGTGTTCTGCTGCTGGGATTTGGCACAGGAGACTTATGCTCACTCTCAGCAATCTTCACACCTACCAGCTCTCTTCTTGTCATTTCAGCCACCCAGCCACCATGACCATGGCCTGATCTGGACTATCAGGGCAGCAGGTCCAATAGACTAGAACTACAGCCGCCTAGAAAGGTCAGCTGCAGTCTTTGAACCAGAAATGCAAATTGGAGGTCTCTAGAGCTTAATCACTGATACGGCTAGCTGAGACGTGGGACGGGGGGAAGAATTGCATCAGAGTGGCAAAGGTAAGAGAGGAGGTTTCCATCAGCCTGGCCTGTCTCCCCCTTGAAATGGTCAGAAATCCTCGCTGCCACGCTGGGCACCCATAGCTCAGTGGTTATAGTGTCAGCCACATACACTGGGGCTGGCAGGTTCGAACTTGGCCTAGACCTGCTAACCAACAACAACTACAACAAAGTAATAGCCAGGCGTTGTGGCAGGCGCCTTTAGTCCCAGCTACTTGGGAGGCTAAGGCAAAATAATCGCTTAAACCCAAGAGTTGGAGGTTGCTGTGAGCACTCTACCAAGGGTGACATAGTAAGACTATCTCAAAGAAAGAAAGAAAGAAAGAAATCCTTACTTCCAGCCCTTTTAAGCAAGTAGACAACTCTGAACCCCAGCACTGCCTAATTCTGGCACCCAGCACAACACCTGGCAAGTGGCAGCCTTCAATAAATCTGTAGTAAACACACAGGTTAGTAAGTATTCTTTTATTGTGTCAAAGCTGCTCCTGTGCCCCTTGAGGGAGTAGCCTCCCCAGCTAGGGCTGTTCTGCTCAGGAAGAAAGACTGGGCCATGGGTTTAAGAGCAAACAAAAATTGGGAGAGGCTGAGGCCACAGTGTACCCTGTGAACCCAGGGAAGGTGCTGGCTGCTCAGGGACAGGCTGCTAGAAGCTGAGGACAAAAGGTGGCTGCAGTCTGGAGCTGCTGGCTCTCAAGATGAAAGGTCGGGGGCTGAGGCTGAGATTGCAGCCCCAACCCCAGGCTGGTTTTCCAGGGCCAAGGCCTCTTCCACTACTTCTGCTGTCCTCTGGAGGAGATGGGAGGCCATACAGAATGGAACCATGAGTATATCCAGCCTTCAACCTCAGCCAGAAGACCTCTGACCCCAGGAAAGGGAGAGACTTGAGAAATTAGGAACTGTTTCCTTGTTTACCAAGGTAGGAAGGTAAGGAGAGTTGTGTACAGTCAGTCACAAGTGGGGAGAACTGTTCTGGGGGTCCAGGGCTACCAGTTTCTTGCTGGGAATTCCTCCCATCCCAAAATACTGCTTCCCAGCTCAGTGCCCGTAGTTTAGTGAGTAGGGTGCCAGCCACATACTCTGAGACTGGCCAATTCGAGCCCGGCCCAGGCCTGTTAGCAAACAATGACAACTGCAACCAAATAACCAGGCATTGTGGTGGGTGCCTGTAGTCCCAGCTACTTGGGAGGCTGAGGCAAGAGAATTGTTTAAGCCCAAGAGTTTGAGGTTGCTGTGAGCTGTGATGCCATGGCACTCTATTGAGGGCAACACAGTGAGACTCTGTCTCAAAAAAAAAAAAAAAAATAGTGCTTCCTGACCCAATGGCTCACCTGATCCAAGGGCTCCTCTGTCTGGGTGTCTTCATCATCTGCTACTTCCTGGGCCCCTGCTGTCTCATGCCTTGGGTGGGAAGCCCCATACATGCCTTTAACTCCTAATAAAGGAGGCAACATTGGCTGCTGCCCAGCCTGAGGAGCCCTCAGCCTTCTTTGCCTTGACCTCTACCAGTCCCTTCCCTTCCCCCAGCCTTGTTTCAAATTTCCCACTACCTTCAAGGATAGAAGGAAGTTGAAAGGCTGCCTTTGTCCCCAGGTCCAACCCTTTTAAGTCCTACTCCTGAAGTCCCACCGCTTTGATTTAAGCGCTGCTCTTTTCACATGTTTCTTTCCATATGACAGTCTCCATGAAGCAGCAAGAGACTGGATATGCAGATGGGGGAGTAGGAGACAGTTGTGCTGAGGTCATGGCCAGTTCTTTCCTTAGGAATTTTGCCCTCACAGACATCCTCAGCAACAGCAGGGACCATCCCATATCACTGTCAAAGGGTGGCTAAGAAGGGCCGGGCCCCAGGGGCCCCTCACCTGATGGGAATGAGAGAGTGGGGAGCATGTGTCTTGGCTGAATGTCCTGGTGGGGTCTAGCATAGAAAGCAGACAGCTCAGTTGGGCTTGGTTTCTTTGGAGAGGGCTGGGTTGCCTGGACCCCCTGGCCATGGGCCTATAGAAGAGATACTGGGCTTGAACACCAGTTGCTGGCTATTCTTAGCTTCCCTACTCCCCAGTTCAGGCTTCAGAGTGCCCTAATGCCTGTGAGAGCTTGGAAGAGGAAATGGCATCCATCTTCTCAGCCTGCATCCTTCCTCCCTGCTTCCTCTTCCCACCAGGCTGCCTCATCCAGGGCAGAGCAGTTGGAACCTGCCATCATAGATGCCCAGTGAAACCAGACTGTGTACCCCTGCCCCCATCCTCATGCACACTGGCTCATCACTTGGAAGGGCTTAGGCCTGGAACAAATTGGCCTGGGCCCTGCTATGCCACATAGGCCAGTTCTCTCCCCCAGCAGTCAACCTAGCAAGACAGATTAAGTCCTACAGATCAGATCAGCATTCTGGTTTGGCCCCTGCCACTCAATAACTGTGTCAACCTGAACATATCACATTGCTCCTTTGAGCTTCAGTTTCTACCTCTGCAAAATGGGGATACTCTTTCACAAGATCATTAAGAGAATGCAGTGAAATAAGGTCAGACCCTGAGCTGGAAGAGTCGTCAGCCAGTCACTGCCCTTCCTTCCACCCCAACAATCCCCTGTATTACCTACCCCCTGCCTGTGAGGCCTGGGCTTCGGGCCTGGAGGGTGCCTACAATGACAGAAGAGGCTTGCAGGGGGCACAGAGTCAAAACACACAGCCCCAGAGCATGGCTTCTCTGCTCTCACCTGTCACTCCCCACCTCCCATCTACGTACCAGCAGCCCCTAGGTAGGGAGGGGCTGGGCACCAGCAGCTCCAGATAGGGCAAGGCCTTGAAGTCTTCCTCTCCAACAGCTACATAGTAATGGCCACTCACCAGTGCTTCCCCTGCTGACACTGTGAGCCCCTCCAGAGTGCAGAGTCTGGGAGAGAGGTGGGCAGGACAAAGGCCTATGGACAAGATGCCTCTTCATGTTCAGCAGAGTTTGAGGGGATGGGTGCAGCTATTGCAAGTACCCTCTGGCCTCTGGCCCTCCAGGCTCTAGTCACCTAGGCTCTGCCCTGCCTCAAGGGCTGGGCTAGATGGGCCTCTCCTTGTGGCATAGCAGGAAGTCCCACTTGTGGGAGTATGCTTTCCTTTTGCCTTCTCATAGCTAAAACCAGTCACTCTTTGGGGACTTTTGGGCCTCCTCAGGTCATACTCACTTGCACACAGGCCCACTTGACAACTGGGCCTTCTCAGTCAGGAGCTTCAACATGGTGTCCCAGTCCTGGCTGGCAGCCCGGGACAGCTTCAGACTAAATGGGGGACTTACCAGGTCCCCATTCCTGAACACACTGAGACAAGAGAGCAGCCTGGTAAGTGGGAGGGTCCAAGGACTTCCTAAATGTGGGAGGAGGAAGGATGGCACAGGGGCCAGCAGATGGTCCAGGAACAATTTCACCTATCAAGCATGTTGGACTTTTAATATTCAACCAGGGGCTCCTAGAACAAACCCACTGCCATTTTCTTGGTGTCAATTAAACAAAAATTTATATCCTTGCTCCTGATATTGCCACTCACTGGATACAGCAGGGGACACCTGCAGGCAGCCACTGTTCAACGGCCTCATCACGCAGGCGGCGAGTCCTGGGAAGATCCTGAAATCCAAGTCAAGCACCCAAATGAGAGAGTTGAGGCCTTTGGTTAGGGGTGGGTCAGTCCGAAGTATGTGGGGCAGGAGAGGGGGAAGGAGGAATGAGACCTTTCACCAAGGGGTGCTTCTACATTCCCCAAGTCACATCCCCTGCCCCTGCGATGTGTTTCACAGCTTCCTCTTTTCCTTTGGGACCACAGTCTGGAGATTAAAGTGAAAGACTGGCTTGGCGCCTGTAGCTCAAGCGGCTAAGGTGCCAGTCACATACACCAGAGCTGGCGGGTTGGAATCCAGCCTGGGCCTGCCAAACAACAATGACAACTACAGCCAAAAAATAGCCAAGCATTGTGGCAGGCGCCTGTGGTCCCAGCTACTTGGGAGGCTGAAGCAAGAGAATTGCTTAAGCCCAGGAGTTGGAGGTTGCTGTGATCTGTGACACCATGGCATTCTACCCAGGGCGACAGTGTGAGGCTCTGTCTCAAAAAATAAAAAAATAAAAATAAAGTGAAAGACTGGAACAGGAGCAAGGGAGTGTCGTGAAATTCTGTACCCCAGGAAGGATAGGGGCTGGTTCCAAAGTGGGTATGGAGAATGCCCCCTACAGAACTGACAGGTCCTGCTGCTTCCAGGACCCTTCCATTCCCAGGCCAAATTGGGGGTAATCCCAGGAGAGGTGGGAAGACAGACCAGTTGGCGGACATCCTCCCTGATCTCACTTGCAGTCTGCTGCTCTTCCTGTGTGAATTCCTCTCTCCTGGGGTCAAATAGCTGTAATGACAGATAGGTCACAGGTCATCTTGGGGAGCCTGAGGCCTCAGCGGTCTGGTATCCGCCTGTGTGTAGGGCTGAGGTGCAGTTTACCAAGTATCCCTCCCCATTCGAATAGTCTGTTGTCTCAGAAATGGATACTGGCACCTTTGGGGGGGGGGGAAACAGTGTCTCATAGTGTAACTGTAGAGTACAGTTGTGTCATAGCTCACAGCAACCTCAAACTCTTGGGTTCAAGCGATCTTCTTGCCTCAACCTCCCAAGTAACTGGGACTATGGGTGCCTGCCACAATGCCTGACTAATATTTCTATTTTTTTTT